AATGGGAAGCCATAAACCATCCCTGACAGGTCAGCCTGGCTCAGGCCTCGGTGGACAGAGGAGCAATATGAATCTGTCTGCCTTCACCTTGTTATGCTGCAACGCACAGGACCCCCCGTAGTGATGTGTAGAGCATGCTCTCAAATGAGCCAAAGGCAACTTTTTCCTTAGATCCCTCTGAAGGATCAAGATTTCATTTAAGGCAACAGACAACACTGGCCGACCGCTCCAAAGGTAACTGCTGTCCTTCTCCTTCATCAGCATCTCTGTTTACAACAGCTTCAGAAACATCTGGAACAGACGGCTCTGAGCTGCTCTATGCTTTGCATACACCCTCCATCAGCAACCATGGTCCAATCCCTCAGCTTCCACTTAGAACGGCAGTCTACAAGGGTCTTCCACCACTTTTTCTTCGGTAGAAGAATATGGTAAGAAGTTTATTACGTATGTACTCTTGTATATACCAAAACCAACAGCCCTACAAGGGCCTTGATTGACAAGGTTGTCAATACACAAGCATAATTTGCCCAAATCCAATTTGCTTTTTAAACCTGCAATACAGTAAGTATTAGATGTCCACAGGTGAAAGAGTCTGATTTTCCATTTATGGTTTCCTAAGGCATCTTTTTTTTTTTTTTTTCTCCCCAGTACAAGAATGTGAAAACTTTAGAGAAAATCTGAAGTAGATACACTGTGCCTAATGTTTTAGGCACAAAGGCAAACAGTTATCTAAAAGTCATATACGCTGGGACTTGTTCTCCCAAATAAGCCAAAGTACGTATGATTAACTTCATTTTTCAGACTTTACTACTGGTACCATTACCCTTTTCTGAAATCTAATAATTTGGAAATATTTTTCAGAACCCTGGACATAAAGGGCATGTATAAAATCACGTAATACTCCACTAAATATTGTCTGTATTTACCTCTCAAATGAAAAAGCAATAAGATAAGAATTTATTCAGCTGGTTAGGTTGGGGGTATTGTTCTATGCTTTTAGTTTTTGAGCTATGTATAAACAGGTGATTATTCAGTAAAAACAGCTGGATGTTTCAGTCTTATGTCCGCCAATGCTATTGAAGTTTGAGAGCAAACATAGCATTTCTGATAAGGTCGGTTTTGGCAACAAAGAAATACAGAGTTATAATATGCAAAAGAGCAACTATGAGTCACTGTAATGAATAACTGAAGAACTTAGCACTTTTAGAATGTAATGAGACTTCAGCGATCAGTTTCTAGGTTAAGAATACTTTCCATTCATTTACATTTTGTTTTTAATGGAATCAGGGATTAGCTGTGACATTTTGGGGTCTCCTGAATCAGTTTGTGACAGTCTCAAAAGTGCCTTTTAAGGCCAGTTTACCACAGAGACAGCAAAGACTGCAGATTTGAAGCTTGCAATGGACCAGAATTCCCTGCAGATTTGCAAATCACACTTGCACAGCCATCCCCAGCCCTTGCAGCAACAACACCTGGGTCTATGCTGGTACAGCAGGTGCTTCTAAAGTGTCAGACTGTGGGTGTTTGCACTCCCTGAAGCGGGGTCTCGTACAGGCTTGTGGATCCTTATATTGCATTTCAGAACAACGAAGAGGGTTTGCATGCTTATGCACTGCCAAGATAAGAGTCCATGTCCCTTTTGCAACAAACATGCCAAAAACATTTGCTCACATTTCACTTTTACATCCTCCTCTCCATCATCTGTTACAAGACACTTACTTCTCCTCTTTTTAGGGAGCCTCCATGAATCTGATCCTCACCTTTCAGATACAATAGTGTAAATAAGAGACAGACCAGACAACAAGCAAGCAAGGAGGATCACATATCATCAGAACAACGTGGTGCAAAGAGACAATATATTCCTTTGGGAAGGGAGAATGCTTTTTGGCATGCATTCGCATAGCATCTAGTTCAATGGAGTCCTTCCCTAGAACATGCTACAGCAATAGAGATAAGTACTTAGATTCCAGCCAAAAAATGTATTTGCATACAAGTTCAAATCCTTCCTGTGCCGGACCCAGAAAGGTCCCCGACTGAGTTTCAGCTTTAAGAACAATTAGATGCCTTGTAGAACTCAAAGTCACAGTGGGTGTCCTCCAGAGGTCAAAATGTTGAGAGGAAACAGCCTGTAAACAACTCGGAGCAAGTGGAAGACAACTGGTAACCTCAGGTGAAAAATAGAGAGGCTGGCATCATAGAAAGATGAGAGAGTAAGAGGGGCAAAAAAACCCAAACCAGCAAACAAGAGGGACTGAGAATTGTTCAGTGCCATTAGTACATAGAAATTTGAATTTGATGCCAAGAAAAGACAGAAAGTTGAGAGATTCAAAGAACAGGGAAAAAGAATGAGACATTAAGAGAGATGATCAAATGCTCCCCTGTATCCTGAAGTGTCACTACTGAACTCTTCCCTTCTCACGCACTATTCTTCCACTTACACACACAAATATTTTTCCTTACAGACCTCTGACCCCAGTGCCTTTTCTGCTGTGTCTTCCTACAATCCCCAGGAGCAGGCTCCTACTTCACTGTGGTGAAGCTTGGGCTACAAACCTCTGCTCTTTGACCCTCTGCTGGGGCAGAAAACCAGCAGCACCTCCTTCCAGCTGCCAAATTCCAGGAGTTGCTTCTGCTGAGAGCAAGGAGGGAACATGGCTTTTTTTCAACACGTATGCTTCTTTCGTGGAGATCAAGCCAGTAGATAACATGGTGAGCATCCTCCAAATATACATGCAAACAGTGTGATCCCTTGTGCATAGCACTGCTAAACACGAGCTATTACTACGTTTTACTACATATTACAATATTACAACCATTAATACTACAGCCTTGGCTCAGAACAGGATTATACTAGTAGTATCCTACTGGTTTATGGACTCATGATCAACTAGCACACTAACTCAGCCTGAAGGACTAATTTATGACTGAGAGTTCCTCTGTGCTACTATTTGGCTTTGTTAAAGTAGTACCCCATGACTGCACACAAACACTGGTTCATTACAGCTTGACAACAGTGAAGCCAACCTAAGAGGACATATGACAGCGTATATACTCTGACTATTTTATCTGCAATTGGTACATCTGTATAGGATCACAAACAGGCTTCACTATATCTATAAACAAGCTGTATCACACAAGACCTGTACTTTTTACTACTACATTTCAAAGCCCAACTGTAGATCAGCGTCTGCTAAACTACTCACTGTCAGGATTTCACCCCACAATCCCAAATAAAATTTTTTAGATGGGAGGACATTTGGACACTTACCCTTTAGCCAAAGCATTTTGATCATTTATAAGAGCCTAGTCTTCTGACATGTTGGTTAAAACTCTGCTTTGTGGGCCATCCCCATGAGAAAGAGATATTTTTCATGAGGATTCAAAATCAGATGATGGAAAGGCATGGGCAGTGAGCCTAGCCATCGTTCAGCTCTCGAGTTAAAGAACAGGAAATAACCAAATTGAACAACATCCAAAAATAAATAACACAGGTAATAAGTGAATAACTACTGATACTCCATGCCAAAGTCAGTCAAATTATGATTACTGAACTATGCCTCCATGCTTTAACTGGTACATGTGTTAACAAGCACTGTACTTTTATAGTTCCTGCCATTAAAAATAAATACATCATTTAGTAACACAGCTAAAAATATTAACCACATAAAAAGTATGGTTCAGTAAACTGAACCATCCCATCGACAGCAAGTAAAGTAAGTTTCTGAAACTTCTGCCTAAACAAGGTATTTTTAATGTACACTTATATGTATTTTCTATTAAATGCAAGAAAGCATTAGGTGGAAGGTGACAAGTAGTCTGTGCAGTAGTTTTCTTGAAGTTTGTTTACATTAAGCTGTAAGATGATACAGTTTCTCAACACAAACGCAGTTAGCATCATACAACTCTGCAATCCACAGCTGCCACATCACAAGCCTTTTCAGACCAAGACCTTCACTAGCAATTGTGAGTGCTTAGCAGACTGGATTTTTGTTAGGAGAAGTGAAATCACAGCGGATCGAGGAAACCCACACTTCAGCCAATCCTAAAAATGTGAAGCGTGCACAATTTCCCACACCGTTGGGCTAACCTGCCATAGCGCTGGGCTGCTGACATGACTTTAATGCCAGCTTCTTCGAGTCTTAACTTTCTGATCTCTTCTGCGTCTTTCCCCTTGGGTGCTGGTGTTTCTTTTGCACTACCTGAAGGAGACTGGTCTATGGAGTTTCCTTCATTTTCATTCAAACCTACTTGATTTTTAAGGGGGCTTTCCTCAGGAGCCATGGAGCCCACTTTCTCCTTTTCACACAGTCCTGATGTTTCATTCTGTTCTTCTTCTATGGTTTCAGGGTGGGGTTTGCTATTGAATTATACAAGGTAGCTTAATGTATGCTGTGCCTAAAACATATACACTTATTTATTACAAGCACATTTTGTTGATATCAAGACACCAAAGGATATTCTGATGAATGATCCAGGAAGATAATTATGCTCTTTAACAGATGTCGCCTCTTAGGCCAAATCAAAAGTGAAATATCCGTTGGCAAAACCAGCATGCAGAAACACATAGTCACAACTATATAAACTGTACCGGTGTAAAAAACACAGCAAAAATACTACCTATTTTGATTGAATACATCACACATTACTTGTAAGTATCATTTGTCAGTGAGTGTCTTGAGAACTGAAACAGATCATCCAGAACATTTTTGTCCAGCCTTGGGTTTGAGTCAACATCCATGGTACTTATATTAATGAACATCTTGTCAAACACAAGTTATGCATTGCATTGTATGGTAAATAACAACATCAAGACAATGATTTTCCCCTCATTGCTTTTCTACCACCTTCGCCAATTACTACAAACAATTTATCAGTACCATCTCAGCAAGAGATTTAGTACAGCAGAAGGCACTTCACACATCTTATGAAAAGAACAAAAATTAGGCACATGTTAAAGCATCATCACTGCGGCAGGGAGAATTTGGACAGGCCAGTCTTACCTGAAAGGTCTGTCTCCTAGCGGTGAAGTTGCCGTGCTCCAGCTCTTTCGGTACTCTTCTCGTTCAGCTTTCTTTTTCCGAAGTGGAGCGGGTACGTAAAAAGTCTGATTACTCTTGTTCGGGAGGTACTGGTTAAAAGGCACAGCTGATTTAGGTTCACCATGTGAGGTCCGCCTTGCCAACATATCATCTTTTTTCACATCTGGCATCTTTCTGTGTGGCAGGTCAGTTTCTGAGTCACTTCCTCTCCCTAGTGAGGAAGGAGAAAAAAATTCCTTCTTCTTTTCACTTCTGCCCTTTTTTTTTTTTTTTAAATTATAAATTAGAGAAGACACCACCAGAAAGTGACGTTTAGCACATGAACACAAAAAAATGAAAACATTTTAACTTGTATTTATGTTTTAAAATCAGTCACTGAAGGTAGTAGCCATAATATCTACACAGACAGTGAACAGGTTTTTTTCCATCAACTCTTCTTTTCTACCCCTGAAAAAACTCATCTTCACCCACAGGTCACATTAGAAAACTTGGGGCCAGATTAAGCCAGACTTTTCCATCACACCAGACAGCTACAGAAGCTTACCTGACTTATTTCCAACTGACTCCTGGTTGTAAATATGAGTATGTTTGACCTGATTCACACTCTTGAACCTAGACTTACATGTGCACAGCACAAGCTCAAGCAAAAAAGGGCTGCACGCTGTATATTTACAGAATGACAGGAATCTGCGCATGGATATTAACAGCACTTTGAACGCACACAGCATCAGCTTTGATCAAAATCTGAGAACAAGCACCAGCTGCTATAAACCAGAATACTCAGATGGTCTCTCCCCAGTCTCACCAGTTGCCTGGTCAATCAGTTTAGCACACTGCAAAACAGAGAGACTTGATCCTCAGAAGGAAAGGGGTGAGTAGAGAGAGGAGGGATCTCAGGATGTAGAGGTTAGATCAGTACAGCAAAGATTGAAGAGCACTTTATGGCAAAGAAAGGAAATACAGCGAGAGAGAAAAAACGAGAGTTACAGAGAATAAGATAGGAGATCAACAGAGCTGAGTGGCTACTTTATTTTGTTCAAGTGAACTAAGCTTCCTGATATTTACAACCCATTAAAAAAAAATTAAATTCAGAGAAACTTAGGCAAGACTTCTCCAACTTGAAAACAAAGCTCCCAAATAGTAGGACAAAAAACTTAAAAAGCATTTGCAGTGGAACTGCCCTCATAGCCATTTTGGAAGCCACTTCATAGACATTCACTAGATTCCCTGCACCATCATGAGCCTTTTAAAGTAATACATAAAGAAGCTATGTAAACAGTTCTCTCCCAGCAGTGTAACATCAGCCAGGCCCTGGTTTGAGCAGTGAACTGGAGCATATTCAGCCATTTCTCCCACCAGCATTCAAACCTTCTCCCAGCTTTGGAGTGTTGGATGTCTCTGGCCCCCGGCCCCTTTGCAACACTTGCATCTGCAATAGCTGTTCCCCTCTTTGCGGTGCAGGGAAGCCACCCACGTTGTGTCCTCTTGCTAATTCACCATGCTAGTAAATTTCTAGCTAATTCACTGAGCTACCTAATGAACAACTGAAAACAATGAAGTCATAAAAAATCACAAGTAGCTTGTGTATAATTCAAAGTGGGGGAAGGAAAAGAGGTCTAAATATGCTAGGAATGTTATTTGCAAAGAGCTTTTGCAGCACATTGAGTTATTCAATGTTTGCTTGGAGAGACACGAGGAAGAGTGAAAGGGAACAGTAAGAAAAGACAAGACACAATGGAAATAAGCTAGTTTTAGACAAAAATCATAATGCATTTTTTGCCAGTAATCTTTTTGCTTGGAGATTTTTGGTTAAGAGCATATGATAACTAGCACCATGATTGGTAACTTGAGTCTATATCTAAACAAGAAGTGGAGACGGAACCACAGAATCATGGGTGTCTGAGGACGGCTGAGGTTTGAAGAGCTATAATATCATTAGACTGAGCAGGGCCACAGAGGAGCTAAAAGAAAATGAAAAGATCCCTTACTGTTATCTGCTAGTCTGTCTGCTCTCAGCTTTGTTCTGGTGTTTATTTTTGTATCACATGAAAACCAGTCTTGAACCGGCAGACAGAACTGCTGGAATAAATAACCACAGTAGCAGAGGAATTAGAACAGATTCCTCTCCCTCATTACTGATGTGCCTACCAGCATCCCCAAGTTGAGGACTTCAAAGGCAAACAGCTTCCTTAATTATTCATATTTTACTTGTGAAATTATTTTCAGCTCAAATTCGAAAAAAAGCACTTGAAGCCAAAGCACTGAATGGAAGATGCAGCCATGCTCGACATTAGAACCCTAACTTTGTTGTTCTGCATTTCCAAATAGAAGCAGCAGCAGTCACTTTCCACAACCTGTAACAAGCAGTTATACACCACAGACACGCACAGATCCTTCGTACAAGGATCCATGCACAACTGCCGGCCAAGCAGAGGATTTTTATTCATTCCCAAGTACATTAGTGACTCTACAGGCAGGTCAGCCTGCTGTTCTACTGTGTTTTAAACAAACTATTCTGCCCTGCCACTGGTTTTGTTTGCTTTTTGCCAAGGGACAGAGTCTGCACAGGATACCAGAGCAATTCCTAAACAGTTGGGCTGATCACAGATGGCATTTGTGAAGGTGATATTACTTATTGCTTCCACCTAAACTGATCATCATGTAAGGATCACTTAAATTATCTCCATGCATTTTTTTTTTTCTAGGAGTGCAAAGAATCATAGTTTTATTTCACTATCACATTATTTGGTTTATAAAGCTCCTATCTGAACAGAGAGAGAAGTAATGCAAGCAGAACCTTTTCTTCCATCCAGTTTTGCATATACAGTATTTCTATCAAAAACTATGTGCAGCTGGGTGAAACACTGGCCTGCTGGGGCCACAGGAAGAGGTTCAAAAGAAAAGAGGTCAGGCAAGCTACACCTCACCTGCAACTCTTGGAGGAGACAGCTGTGAAGTTATGGCAGCAGCAAGCCAGGAAAATGGGACATATTAGAAAGGGCCAGCTGGACAAGTCATACGTGTGCACACAGCATCTGCAGGCACCCTGGGTCTGGATATGGTTAAAGACTAATTTTAAGAACAAGCTTTGCATGCTTGCATCTTATTTTGTGTTTGTTATGGACTCAAGAATGTGACAAGATAGTATGTGTCAGCTGTGGCAACTAACCAACAAACCACCCACCCACCCACAAAATCTTATTAAATTCTGCTAATACAGCAGAAGTTGATAGGAAGCAGCTACAGGACATGTGTACCTGGCTGCCCAGCAGCTCCAAGTAGGCAGCGACACTGGACACTCCTTGAGCACCCAGGACAGAGCACCACTTCTTGATTAGGAGATGTGAGGTGTTCCTATCTGCCAACACCACACTTTTGTCTCACTTGGGAAGGCAGAAAAATGTTTTGTAATGTGGAGACTGTGCTCTGTTCAGTGTCTGAAGGGGCATGAGGCTGTTTCAGTGAATCAGTCCCAGTACCTGGTTCTGGATGGTCAACCAGCACGAGGCCCAATACCACAGGCCACTCAAAACAGCAGAGCAGATCTTAGCCCTGCTTTACCCACAGCTCTTTTATAATTCAGCTGTGATACCAGCTCTCCCTGCCACCTTTTCAGTTTTAAGGAGTTCCCCATAACCTTAGGAAATCTCTCATGTGTCCGGTTATGATTAGCACCAGTTACTTTCACACTGCCAAAAGCAGTATGAACATCTGGTTCCTACCAAAAAGTTTCTGCCCTTCGTTTTTTCATCAAATAAATAACATTACTAAGGAGAAGTGATTCATGTGTGGAACGTAACTTCATCTGATAATGAAGTTTGACCGATTCATCTGTTCATTGGGAATGTAACCATGCAGAGAGAGCTTCAATCAAGCACCCTTTTATTCTGAACCAGAATCCTGCTCACAACAGGCAACCTAAGTGCATGCTCCACACCTAACCCCTAGCAAATGCTTCCTCATCCAGGACAGTGAGTTTACAAGCCTCCGGAAGCCTCTGGGAATCAGACAAGAAAGGCAGAGAAGCAGCAGCCCTTCTGTAAGCCAAGAGCTACATGTCCTCATTCAAAGGTGTACAAAGATGACCACAGCTCTGATGCCAGGAGCTATCAAAATACCCAATTTTCTAAATACCATGAAACCAAATATGACATTTGGTAAGATGTTGTACATCAGACTTCAAAACTCTGTCAAGTGTCAGACATTTCCAAGATATTTATCTGCCCAGGGTATATTTAGGCAGCATTTTACTCACTTCAATATTTCTCCTGTTCCTGTGCTTTTATTTCTTTCTCCAGCCTAGTTTATAAGTTAAAATGAATCTGTGTAACATACTTTTACACCGTAACCCAGAAAAACACTCTCCTACTCATAAAATTACACTGCAATGATGTAACTCATTTTCCAATGCTAAGCTATCCTAACTGAGACAGACTTCAAGTAAGTTGTTGGCAAAAAGTCATCTAAACCTCAGGGAGCACAAATCAGCATTCACAGAGAAGTTCTCCCGCAGGATTAACACGATTCAGAGGCTGTGTCCAGCTCCCGAATGGCACATTTGCTCCAGAAACGTTACTTACATGTCACAACGTTATGCATGTGCCACACTGTGACCGGTACTTACCATCGCTGCTCCCTCGGAGCACTACATCTGGAGACGGTGTCTGCTGCGAGCGGGAGCCAAAGGAGTCCAGACTGTCAAAGGAATCATCTCTGCCGTGGCGAGGAGGGGAGAGGGAATCGCTGCGTTCAGAATCCCAGCAGTCTATATAGCCGCTGTCACGAATGCTGCGCTTTGGGCTCTCAATATCCTCCGTTTCCTACAAGGAAGTACAGCAGGTACCTCTTCATAAAGAGGCCACTGACGTGCCCAGGAGATCCCTTACACAGCAGACAACAAAGCATCTTCCCAAATACTAAAAATCTCCTCCCTCAAAAAAAGATTTATTTGGTTTCTGCCCCTTTTCCCCTGCACAAACAAAAGTGCAAGCTTGCAATAAACCCCGATTTTATGCTGATTAAGAGGAAACCCCGCTCATTAGATTAGTACGATGAAGTGAGAAAAAAGTTACAATAGGCAAGTTAATAAATAGATCAAAACTGAAAGTAACCTGAAACTTGACTTGTCGTCCATAGTCCATAGCACAGGCAAAGGCACTACAATTTTAACATCGTGCCTGCATCAGGTTTAAGTCTGCTGCTTTCCAAAAGATTCCCCCCCTCCCCTTGCCCATCTATTGTATCTGGCTGGGACACCAGCAGACAGCATTCGTTGTTGCTGCTTCAGCTCGGCAAAATAATGAAGCAGTGTGCCCCAGCCTCCCTCTACCTTGAAGAGAAATTCCTGTTATGAAAGAGGGATGTCTTTCTGAAGCAATCAGCAATGAAAAATATGCAAAATGCTTTTCCTGATGCCTCAGAAGAATTCAGTTGTGCTCTTTACTCTTTGCCAGCTCCTGGCTCTGGGGGATATGAAAGCACTTGTAGCTGACCCACATGTTCAGAGCAGGGAGAACAATGGTTGTCTTTGACAGCCCTGTGATTATAAATTCTTTCCAGTGCAAGCAGCACATACTAAAACACTGAAACTCCAGCAGAGGAAAAGGTCAATAGAAGCCATCCTCACCCTTGCATTATAACAAATCCCTTGTTTTAGAGAGTGTCTTAACATTAATTACAATCACACAGGCTGAGAAAAACCAAAAATAACTACTTTTATTCAAAGATAAATCTGTTTTTTCTCCCCCAACAGTAAGTAAAGTCAGAGATGTGGGTGCCATTATCAGACTGACATTTTGCGACCCAAGGAGGCTGGAATGTGGGGTTTTGGTTTTTTTCATTCTTTCTTTCTTTCTTCCCCAGAAACATTTGAATATTAATTCCTAATTAAGAAGCACCCCTGCTTACCACTAGCTGGAGCACAATGGCTACGTTGAGCACAGCTCCCACTGTCCTTGACTGCTAAGGTTTTACCCATTAGTACTATCGCCAACAAGATCAGTCAAGAACATCACAGTATGCTATGGTGGGCCACCTCCACAAGAAAGCAGGTCTGCTGGAGAAGTGATGGAGGGAGGAGAGCCCTGCAGGAACACACCAAAGCTTCCATGCTGGAAAAGAGGGAGGCTCAAAGCGAGACAGAGAGATCAGACCCAACGTCCTGCAGACTTTTCAGGAAGAAGGCTTAATTAGTGCCACTCACTGTTACATTGCCAAAATACCACATTAAGGGCAGCAGCAAAGGTCCCCTAAGGCCAAGCTAAACTGTGGTAATGTCAGTAAGTAACCTCACTGCAAATGGAAGTGAAAGTATTTTCTAAAACTAAATAAAATACATCTAACAAAGTAGTAATTGAATCCTACGTAATTTCCTTCCCTGGTCCTGCTTAGTGGACTAAAATACTGACAGAAACACTAGACAACAAAGATCTGTCTCCCTGAAATCTGCATGAGTTACACACATCCAAGAACAAATCTAAAAATCCTATCAAAATCCCTTTTGTGACATGATCCAAAAATCTTTTTAAAAATCCAAATTCCCTAAATCCCCTCATCCCTTCATACCAATCAGCTATTCTCAATCCTCAGGCACACTTCCATTTTCCTAAATTACTGTATTTGAATGACACAGAACTGCTCAGCAGCTACAGAGACTTAAAACTCAGGCAAAAAGCTCCATCCTGCATTCACTATATCCCAGAGTTTGAAAACAGTCCAATTGTGAACTAATGAGTTCTGCAGACCCTGCTTTCAAAGGCCTGTTGATGTTAATTTTGCATGCCGCTCACCAGGAATTAAGAGGCAGGCACCAGGATGGGATCCTAGACTTCTGAAAACATGTTCTTTACAGCCTTGCCCTTGGCAAAGCTACTCTCCCAGCCCACCGCTGGCTCACAGATGGGTACTTGTCCTGCTCTGAGCAAACGTCATCTCCCAAATGTTATCAATGGGAAAAAGAAAGTGGTTATCTGTAGGACTGATAACACCGTAATACGCCACACAACAGCACATTAGTCTTTCGTATTATCTAATTAAAAACAGTATGTAACTGAGCGGTAGTAAAAGTGTGATTGCCAAATATAAGATGTGTTTCTCCAGGAAGTTCCACCCACTAAATATAATCAAAAAGGCATGGTTGTTTTGTCATTGGGAATTTCCAGTTCAAAAGTAAAGAAGAATGCGTATCCAAATAGTTAATAAAATTAAAAACAGAGTAGCATGAATAAAATTAGAAATGAATAGCCCTTTCAGTACGAGAAGTAGAAAAAGATGAATCCGAGACAACTTACATCCGAGCTGTCCTTTGATTTGCTCATTAAAAAAGGAGGGCAGAGAGGATTTATAACAGAAAAGCTAAACCAGACTGAATTTATGGTCGATTTAATTATTAAATTCTGTGGAAATAAATGCCAGTAGAGAATGTGATAAAGTGTCTTTTCATCACTCGAGCTCAGCTGTAAAGAACATCAGAGTGTTGCGCAGCATGATTAACATGTTCTATTTTACACCCAAATCTTCTTCAAATTCAGTAACAGACAAGCCCACAATTGCCAGTGGGAAATACTGCAGGAGCAGGGAGGTGACCTTAACATAAGATGCCAGCAGCCCTCGTTACAGTACCACCTAAACAAGACTTTTCAGGACTGCCAAGTGCTCTCTTTTTACATTAAAGGACTATATAGCTTTTAGCTTTTATGAGATCTCTACTCTGCTCCCAGCTCCAACATCTGCAATGAATCAAATCCCAGCCTCTTGCTCTTGTCCTTGACCTGCAACGCTCTGCGCTGCCCAGCCTGGCTCTCCACGATCACCTCCCCAGAGAACGCTGCCTTTCGGCCCCTGTCTATTTCATCCCACAAAAGGGCTGAAGATGGGACCTCCAAAATGTTCTGATGATTAGTTTGGTGGGTAAACATCACCTGGAAAAAGAGGAGCCTCATGCTGCAAGATTAGACATTAAAAAATAAACCCTGATAACTAACATAACCCGCACTTCAGCAATTTTTCTGCGTTAGCTCCCTTGACCATCTTTGTTTCACCTTTCAGACTCTTTGGAGTGGGGACTGGTCCTTCCCTGCATCTTCTATTTGGAAACAACTCAAGTATTAACTTAACGTCTTTATTGCTTGGTTTCAGTCGTATCACTCATGAGTTGCAAAGTCCCGAGTGATTAGTGCAGGTCATTTCAAATGAAGACCAAAATAAACCTCTACAGAGAAGCAGAATGTTCTCTTTTCCTCTCAATTTCCACTTGCTTGTTCACAGGAACTGGGCTCACAAACCAGGATTTTACCTGTCTAGCTAAGGCTCTCTGGTCACACTAAGGTGTAGGAACTGCTATCAGTCAAGTATTTCGTCCTCTCCAGTGACAAACCAGTGCTGGCCATCTTGACATCCCAGAATGAAGAGCTGCAGCCAGTGGAGATGCAGTAGCACAGAGCTCGAGGAGAATGAAAAGCAAACTCTCCATGGTCCCCAAACCTTACTGCCTGTGGTGACTTGGCCGTTACGTGAGAAAGCAAGGGAGTAGCAGGCATGAAGCTCTCTGTGGGCTGGAGAACATGTCTGCATGGCCTTTCATGAGCAGTATGTCCAACACATGCAATGTTAGCACTGGGTGCTGCCATCTTCTTACATGCCTGCTCCTTGCCCCTTTCATCCCCAGCAAATGCATGCTTGGGATATGTGTTGTATACGCAAAACCAACACAGGATATCAACGCTAACCGTTACTGAGGTTAAGTGTCTCATGTTGAGGTTCAGGGCAAGCTGGAGTGCTCAACCAAAAGTCCCCAAACCACTCTACAGGAAAATCACAACTTTTCCTTTCCAACAGAGCTCTGCTCGTCATAAACCACCAAATATTATTTCAGCCAGAATGTAGACTTTGGCAAAACACAGATTCATCATAACTATGCCCTTCATGAAACATAATCTCCTCCTCCTACCCTTCAGCTTTATTTAGATACTTTGGTTTGATGCTTTATGTCGCAACTTAAAAACAAAAGAGCTGCCCATGAGACCAAATGTTTTAAAGAAGAAAAATCTCTGCTCCTGTGAGTCCTGCTACTTTATTTTTGAGTCTCAGCTCTTCTAGCTGAAACTGTGTGTCATAAATGCAAATAATTCAAACCAAAACCTGTGGAAATGAAGATGACAGAGCCATGTGACAATTGTAAAGTCCTGTTTGACATCATGTGCTGCATCATCGATATCACCACAAAGCTGGCTGCCAAGAAAAAGTTGTGTTCATGGCTTGGTAGAGTCAGAAACATTTTCGTAAGAGGTAGGGGTTTACTAAGTAATTTGTACTCCAGCCCCCCACTTCTTTCATATTTAGCAACAAACAGGTTATTTATGGGAGTAATAATTCAAATGAAATTTCCATTCCCAAAACATAACAAAAAGATACCTTTCTCATTTGTGCCAGCAAACCTTCAAACTCCTTCAGGTTCAGGGTCGATCCACTATATGACGTGCAGCTGTTTGCCGCTTTCCCTAGCCAATAAATGGTGACTAACACCTGCAGAAGTTAATAAGAATTAATTGAAGCCATCTAACACAGTCACTTTGCTAAGTTTACTTCCCTTCAGCATCTCTCATTTATTCTAAAGTGCACAGCAGCACAAAATTTTGTTATAAATCAGAATTGAAAGGTAAGCGTCTGTCAGTGGTTAAACATAAATACATCAGGCAACTATGAAAATTTAAACAGTCCCAGTTACAGTAACTTAACACATTATCTCCCCAGTATTTTTATTACAAAATGAAACTGCCATGTCTGCCTGGAAAATAAATCTGAATAGCAAAACTAGGCAAGATATTTGAAACTGTCTGGAAGACACACTTACGTCTGTTTGTAAATCCAATAGAAAAAAAAATCCCTAAAGATTACTAATACTAGTGGTCATTAATTAAAACCATTAAGACTAACAGAATAAAACAAACATCTGAAATGTGTGCCTGCCTATTTCAAGGACAGAAAAGGTAGTTCCATTTTTAATCATCTTAATGTAATTAACCAGATGACACAGGAACATTTACTTCCAGGCTTCTGCTTGCTTAAGAAATACTTAGACCAAGATTAATCAAAAGCCACGAGCATCTGGTTGTTTCTATCAGACTAAAGCAGAAAGAGTTAGTGGTTTCATTCATGTTCTGACTTGATGTCTCTCCGTAACTCAAAAGTCACTTCAAAACTAGAGTGGGAAAAAAAGCCAAGAATAGCTCTTGCAAATGTTTATATACCCCCTCTCTCTCCTTTAGGTAGCAAAGAAATCTGATCTGGCACTGCTGGTGCTGCACTTGTTTTAGGAAAGGAGAAATTAAGATGCTCAGGATGGTCAAATCCAACACCTCCAAAACCACTGATATTTATATCATGCAGGGAAAGCAAACAGTCCTTCTCTGCACCCACATATGTCTCCACTTAAAGCAATGTCCTTAATGGTACCTGTGCAGCAGCAATTTGGACTGAAAACTGATTGTCAAAGGCAATTCTGTTCAGTGTTTTGCACTGGTTAAAAACGCCAAACCACCACCTGAGAACTTAGGGCCTTTTCTCATTTAATGCTCATTATTTCTGTATATTCCGTGACATTGCAAAGTATTTAACTGCAGAACAAACAGGAAATATTTTGATGTGGAAAAGATGTGCAACCAATAATATATAATAGTTGCCATTAACTGCCTCAAAAAAGTTAAATTAACTGAAATATAGTATTTTATGTTTTGATGGAACAGGGACATATAATTCATATTATATGGTGAACTAAAGAAAATAGGACTAGGAGAAACCCCAAGGGGGTGTTGGGGACAAACATCTCTGTCAGACTCTTCTTCCCTAGAACATACACCCACATTCCTTCAGTCCTTCCTCCTCAGTCACATGTGCTAGACTTCTGATTAGCCTTTTCTCATCAACTTTTGCTAATATCCCCAGTTTTCATTTAAGTGTGATGTCCAAAATCACACACAGCACTCCAGCTGAGGCCCCACCAGAAAAGGATGCAGCGTGTGTCATATAGACCCCTTTGTTGTTTAAAAACTGTGATGCAGAATGTAAAATATATTGTATTTTATACATAAATATACTTTATATTTCCCTTTAGTTTATAAATAATATACATGCCACGAAATAACTGAATAACATTTTAATAAAGTTCAGAAATTTCCCCCTTGTTTTTAAAATTATATCCAAATTGATACTACTATGCTGAGGGAAAGGAGGTGGTTTCGCCAATACAGACTTTTTTTTTGTCTTGAAACAATCTTTATCTGAGCTGTTTTCCTTCAACCAGCACTACTCAACAAATTTATGTAAAAAATTCTTACAGTACATGTTCTCAAGTTAAGTGAAAACACTTGCAAATATAGTATTCCTAGCAACCAGGAAACTGTCCAACTCATTTTGCCACTCAGTTCTCTGATGAAGGTTGTGGTATTTTTATTTATTTCTGCTAGCATCTGATCACTTTCTCTCCTCTTCCTTTCTTTATCCACTTCTTTTTTTCCAAATAAAGTCACATTTGCAAGCAATTCCGACTAGCTGCCAGCTGAGGTTGCAGGATCATGCACCTGGAAAGCATATATTGCCTACAAGCACACTGTGGAGGATACTTTTGAAAGTTTAACTTTAAAACAATACATCTATACAAAGATATTTAGTCAGTGCCCACAAGAGTGCTAAAATGCCAATGCTGAACTCCTCCCCTGCAACTTTGTGTGCTGGATGCAGAAGATATTACTCTAATGATGATGGGAAAGACAGGATGAAATAATTTAGGGTTTTTTATGGTTTGGGGTTTTTTTGATTTATTTTTTTTACCTGCAATCATGATTACTGGATTGCAAAGTTATTAGGAAAAGGTCTTGGCATTTCCTAGCAGTTTACAGCGATGTGAGCCAAATATTAATTTATAGCAGTTTACAGCTGACTGAGGACAGACAGCTTGCTAGGCTTTAGGATAATAACTAACTCTGAGACCAGCAAAGTTTAGCCATGTTCTTTTCTGCTTAACAATTACAGGATCCATTATCATTTCTATTAATTTAAATCGACAAGAAATTGAAGTTAAATGGAATTAGCCTTTCTGGGAGAACACTCATTTATTTGGAAGAACAATGAGAAAGCTAGCAAATCTGACAGTAGAGACTTGTATCCAGATCTAGTAATAGTTTTGCTTCATTTTAAATACTTTGTGCGAATTTACTTTATGCCTATATATTCATGAAAGGCTACAAAAGCACAGCCTTGTGGGTGAGTCAGACCATTCCCAGTGAAAACTATGATGGACAGCACAGAGATCACATTCTTTATCCCTTGATTAAGCAGAGACAAACATTCTCCATTGTATTTCTATCGTAAGGCTGCTTTGCCCCAGCAGCTCTACCAAAGTTTGCGGTAGAACCTGGTTAGGTTTGTGTTCAGAAGAACTTTTCAGTGATACACATCCGTGCTAAGTTTTTACTGACAGAATTCTTGCTCAGGCCAAATACAGGATTAATCAGAACAAAAAAAGAAATACTCCAAGTCATGTACTTACATTTTTCAGCTTCCTACTATAGTCAATGTTCCTGGTTGCACACACACACAGAGACCAAAAAAAAAAAAAAAAAAAAAGGAAAAGAAATAATCAGAAAGCAGACATACTTTCCAGGAGCATGTATGCAGCAGATCACATTCTCCCTAACAAAAGCTTGCAGAATGCTTCTGCTAGCTGGAAACACATAAAAGCTAAGAAGATGTAGTTCACACATTCGTTTATTCATAATGTGGGAGTATTTTGTCACCATTATTTCAACCATTAAATTAGAATTCTGGAAGTACAAAAAGATTATGTGTTTATAATGGTCCCACAGTAAAGTAGGACAGTGCCAAAAATATTTCCTTTAAACAGTGTTGCTGATTTCTTCAAAAAAGAAGACCAAAGGCCTCACTGCTAAAATTCATTCTGCAGGAATCCAACAGTCAGATTCTGCTCTACAATAAAACATGCAACCCATACAGATTCTGGAAGCAACTGAACATGCATTGGAGACTGAGGAAATCATCACCAAACATTAAGGAAATGGAGCAGGTGCTTCTGTGGAAACAAGCATCACAAAGTAGATGGGTGAAGCAACAAAGATCCTGCCACTTGCAACAGAACCTGCTGTGGGAAACATATTTATTTTTTGAACATATAGTCAAGCACTCAGACTGAACATTGGCATCCTTCTCGATTTAGTTTTTCACCAACGTTCAAAGGGTGGAAGTTTTATGTTAGAAACAACAAAGTACAAAGTTTGCACAAACATAAACGACATTTTAAAATTCAGCAAAGAAACCATTAAAAAAAGAACGGAGGACATGTGTATCACATTTAGGTGCTGCAGAATAAATAAGAGCACTTCAGATTTAGTACAGATTGTCTCCTGATTATTTATAATGGAATTGCCTTCTACTATAACAGAAAGTCCATTCCAGCATTAAAGGTTACCTGATAAAAACAAAAATAAATGTACTTAAATCTATGAGAACAACAAAAGTCTAAATATAGGCAACATGAAACCAAAGTATTTTTGATAACATATTTTTAAGCCCAAATTTTAATCCACCAATATCCACATACTAAGAAAAATAAAACAGTCCTATTTTTTTCTTAATAAAATAGCAGTGGAAAAGAGTCTTGTTTAACAAGTCAAGAAGAAATTCTTTACAGCATTAGCTCATAACTTTTATTAGCTGAATGTTCCAAAAAAAATAGATCTAATGCATACTTCAATTAACATCTATATGAAAAAAAATGGTTAAAAATGTCATTATCTTAATCATGTGCAATAATATCGTATTCATACTTTACCATAGAACAATTACCATTTTTAGCATGTTTAAAAATTAACTCAAAAGTCTTCAAAGAGGGGGGGAAAAAAAAATCACCTTCATGCTTTGGGAACTAGCTAGCAGAAGACAGTCTTGAACATATTTCTCTACAACAGTCATGGACTTGGCTTGTACACCTCAACTCAGTTACTCAGCGTGAACTTGGACAGTACTAAGAAAACATTTGGCTCGTTTCCACAGCTGCTTTCTCTGAAGAGTTGATGAGGGGAGGGAAAAAAAATCCATGCCAGTGACACACTTCACATCTATCTAGCATCATATTCAGCAGAGGGCCAAGCCAGCTCCACAGAGTTTACTGCTCCTGGTTTAACTTGCTTACGTGCTGGACAGCTCTCCCTGGAGCTCCATGCTGGTCCCAGCCTCTCCACCTGCCTCCTCCAAGGTACACCACCATCCTCAACCCCAAAAGATCAAGCTTCTTATCAGAAAGACCCTTTCTCTCTGGTTTTATATGGAGATTAGGGTTTTATATTGACATTAGGGATTGTTTTGTGACTCTCTCCAGCCACTCATTGTCATGGTTTTACAGGATGTTGTGAAGAACCTCTTCTATGGCAACACTACCAGATTTAGAAGAAATACGTTACATAGCCCCCTCTCACTGGTATGTATAGGGGAGGAGAACCTCATATTAGAGCCAGAAACTTGGAAAGGAGCAAAAAGTGGGAGACTATTCTTTAAAAGAAGGAAAGTGGCCAATTCAATTTTCAGAACCTTTGCGATTTCCCAGACATTTCTTGAACACCATGAAAACTTGCCCAGCTTCCACTGCCAGAAGCGGGGGGGGGGGGGGGGGGGGGGGGGGAGGCACTGA